CGTCCGGTCCCGATAGAAGCCGCACGACTTCAAGAAGACTAGCATGCGATTGGTGGATATCTTTATAACCTATAGGCTTCCGTTGTACTTGTTATTTCATTCCATTGATTTCTTTCAATAAATGAACTGCTACTTCTGTGACCTTTTCCTGCGTCTCGGTGGCGGGCGATACCAGCGTGTGCGATTCAACGTTTCACTTGGGTCCGTGATTCGTAAAATGTGCCTACTTCGACTATTACATCATCACGATCGGACTCAGATGTGGCAGTAAGGTTGAGATCAAGTAATTTCAGCGGATACGACATTGGGTCTTTATAGGTTATCGGATCCTCTTGGGCGGCGAGAGAGTGCTGCGAAACGAAGGTGACAGGCAATGCACCATCCTCGAATCTTGATCACTCCTATTTTCATGACGAAAGTAAACGCAATCACTCAAGCGTTCCAGTCGAACGAGGCTGTTGATGTGGTTGTTACCGCGACGAGTCGATTGGGTGCTGTTTATCCACGCGAATAAGGTATTACGCAATGATCAGCGAGTCTAAACAACACCTAACAAACAATGTCGCACCCGCTGAAACAGTGCTGTCTACATCTTGCTGCCGTGCCTAAATTCTGATTTCCATGAACGCATTCCCACACGGTCGAAACTAGAGTTGTCGAAGTGGGCTCGCGTATCCACCGTTGATGAGACTATCCAATATCTACTTGTCTTCCCACGCTCTTTCTGTGATGAAGTGAAACAAATCTTAGTCGAGCATGTAGTTAATTTCACTGACGGACGTTGATTAGGTGGATCGGTGAAGCCGTGCAATTTGCGCGAGACAGCTGCTACGCTGGACCCAACTCGATAAGCACGAAGGGTGACGCATTGTTACAACTCAAATAGACCGTTTATTAATCCAAAGTGATGGTTTCCCAATTGAAAGTACCAGCTTCGCAGATCGAAGTGATAGTTTCCCAAATTCATTCTTAAAATTTTTTAGATGCTAATCTTTCAGGCTAATGGAACCTAAAAATCCTCATGACCATTTTATTCGAATCATAAGCATGTAACTTCAGCCTATTGAAGGATCGAACAAGTCCCATCGCAAGATTCAGTCAATACCTAGCACCTAGTGCATACGTACAGTGGGATAATGAACAGTTAACAGTGTGCAGACTACGGGTGTCAAACGGTCTCCATTCTTCTTAGGTCGAGAGGTTTTCGGCTACCTACGACATGCCATCACAAGGATCTCGTGCATGCGCGTGAGAAAAAGCTTTAAAGTCCTTTCCTCCATAAATCAGCCGAGAAACGGTATTTTGCATATTTCCAAATTGAATAATTGGAGAGGGATTTGTCTTCCAAAGTCTACTCACTGCTACGAGACCGGTCCAGCAGTCGGTGCGAAGCGAGATTCGGAAATATTTGTATCTTAGTCCAGAATAATCGCATTTACTCGCCTCTTACAATATTGCACCTTCAGGTTGCGATTGGAAGTCCATCTAAACATACAGTGGCTTGTCGTTGGCCGTTACGCAACTGTGTTAACCAGCTTTCTGCATGGGGTTGTCGTCTGACTTCGGTGTGAACTTGTCATTCCTGGCCAGTTTTCAAAATAATTTATCAAAATGGTGTGACTCTAAAAAGCACTCGGGCATAGATTGACCGCTGCCAGTTGAATTTTCAATCATAACATTTTCGGGCTTCATATTCAACACAGACAGAGCTTTTTTCAAAACAAAACAACTCTGGATTATTTCAACCCATTTTCTAGTATCCCAAAATGTGCGGCCAGTATGCTTACAACTCTCAAGTCCATATTTGTTTGCCTAATACAGATAGGATGCCTCTGAAAGCCTCAGTATGGTTGGGGTTTGGTTTATTGGGTGGTGATCGATCACTGTTCCATTGCACCTCAAAAAGTGCTCCTATGGGACAAACTTCTCAAGGTACCTCTACAGAGGAAGCTCTACTCAGTGCAGTCCTGTGGCAAAGGAGTTTTATCATCAAAGTGGGAGAACAAGAAGCCAACAAACTGGTCGGTGAACTACTGGCAATTTACCTTGGACAATTGACTAAACTTCCTAATTAAAAAAAAACACAAGAAGAAGCGTAAACCTTGTGACAGTTGTCACCGGCTCAATTGGGTATCCAGATGAGAAATTGTGGTAATCCGAGCCTACGGGATGACGAAAATTACGGGACGACATATTACAGTTTCTGGACAGCGGTGATGAGTCAGGCTTCAGAGATGGCGTCAGCAGAGCGACTACATGTTACAGCTTCTGAACAAATAACCACAGGTCGATTGTGCCGACCAATCAGAAGTCGTGCCACCCAGACAGAAGCCGTACGATGCCAAGTAAACGAACATTCGATTGGTGGTTACCTGTATAACCAATAAATTTTATTTGTACATGTTATTTAACCCCCTTGATTTCCTACAATAAATGAAGTATTACTTCTGGGGCCATTTCCTTGCGTCTGGGTTACGTAGGATACTATCATGTAAGTTCCAGTGCGATTCATTACTTCCATGGAGTCTGTGATTCGTAATCCGTGATCTGTGCGTACTTCAATTATTACAGTATTGCACCTTGTGTGTTTGACCACATCCAAGTGGTGTATGATCTGATTTACTGGACCCCAGCCCCCAATGGAATGCCATTTTCCCATACCGCCCCCGTCGCCTTTTCGGTCAGGGTCTGACAAGGCAGAGGTTCCGGTTGCAAATTTACCAAAAAGAATCCACTACCCTGGACTGAGCAACCTGGTATTATTTCGCCTACAAGCAATTCATGGACCATTATTTTTTCTTTTCATTAAAATTATAGCACCGGGATTTGTTTGACGTAGAAAAGTTACTAATACGAATGGTTTCATCAGTATAGCTTGATCGCACCGAAACGCGGGAATCTTTCCGATCTGTTATGCTGTTCACTGGAAATAATTGCCCTGATTCCCTGTTCACTGCAACACCTCCAAAACAGTATGCGCAGTTTTCGAGCTAAAAACCTTCCGACAGAATCAACGGACAACGGATTCGGATTATTCGCTGTTGCTGGACTTTGTCGGTGTACTCTTGACATTTCATGACTTGAGAGACCT